CCCTCTCCACACAGCAACCATGCACCCCTTCCTCTCCTCCTCTCAGAGCTCGCTTGGCACTGACTTCTCCTTTCTCTCACCCAGCTGGGTTGTTGTCCTTTTGCCGCGCGCGCCTTTGCCTCCAAGCTCCTCCTCCTGACTCCCTGCAGCCTTGTGGAAAGAGGAGGAGGAGCCAACCAATGGCCGGCAGCCGTTTTGGAGAGGCAGAAGGGGCGGGGCCAACCGAGGAGCCTTGGCGACCCCCAGAAAATGGCTCGGCGACCCCGCAAGGGGTCGCGACCCCCAGGTTGAGAAGCGCTGATCCACAGGTACCTCAAAATCATGAGCAGCCCGTTCAAATGCAGCGAGAAATGACTCGACGCAGTCCCCTTTTACATATCGGGGAAAGTTCTTTAACACCCTTTGCATGTTAGAGTCTTGCTGTTGGCTTAAGTTAGGAGTTCTCTCATGTTCTCTTAATTGTAGTTCTGCCATTCTCTCCTCATGTCTTAAACGCTCCCTTTCCCTTTCTACCTCAGCTTGCATTCTTTCTCTTTCCATCTGAATCTTTTCTCTTTCTCTTTCAGCCTGAAACTTTTCCCTTTCTCTTTCAGCCTGAAACTCGAGTTCTTTCAACCTCATTTCTAGCCTAAGCTTTTCAATGGCCAAAGAGGTAGCTATCTGTTCTTGCCTACCCTCTGGTACTGGGGTCTCAGTTCCCTCAACTATAGAAGCAGTAGTTTCCCCTTCTCTCTCTGTGTCTTCAGGAGTGCCCTTCTTTGTCTTCGGTGGTGCCATGGCCTAATGTGTTGTAAAATGGCGCTAGAGGTGTTCTCTCTCTGAGGTAATTCTTGGTGTCACGTTTTGACAAAATTTTACCTCAGGATTTACACAAAAATGCCCTGGATTGAGATGTTACACGAATCCACACCGCTGCAAACCAATTATAAGGACTTCGAGGCTTATCAAGGCAGGGGGGGAACAATCAAAGAAATCCCACCGCTGCCACCAATTATAAGGACTTCGAGGCTTATCAAGGCAGGGGGGAACAATCAAAGAAATCCCACCACTGCAAACCAATTATAATAACTCAGAAGAGGCGATCTCTGGGCAAGGGGGTCAAAGGATCCCACCGCTGTCCCTCCTTCAATAAGGAATTCACTCTACTTCGGCTCTTCTAGTGTTTGAGGGGATGTCACGTTGTGTAAAACCTTCGCTGCCACCATAAACTACAGAAATCATGAACCCTCTAGCTATTTAAAAGGTTAACAGGCTGTTTAAATTAATAAAAGGCTTTTTGCTCCACCAATAACTGTGTATTAACAAGAGCTTTCTCTGAGGGGAAAACAGGAGAGGTTGATTCAAAAAGGGAAGGATTCAAAACCAAAAATGGCACTTGACTCAGGCTTTAAGTTTAAAAATAACAAGAAAGAGTTTATTGAAATACAAGTTATAGATTTACAAGTGAATGCAGGTTCAGAGGCTTGATGGTTACAGATAAAAGTGTTCTTGTTTCTTATAAGCGTATTGGTTACTTGAGAGAATGTTCTTTTCTTTTGTTACAATTGGTTAAACACAAAACCCAGCTATTTACTTTCTCAAAATAGCTGTAACTCAGTCTGCCACAGCCTACTGTGCTGTGCAAACTAAAGGCAAACTGCCTATTCTTTACAGAGACTCCTAAACAATCCAACTCCTACTCTAATCTCTCTCTCAGAACTAAACTGCTCTCTACTCTACTCAGCACTCAGCTGTACTAACTCTAAAACTGTCAAAACTATCTGTTCTCTTTCCCTCCATCTGGCTAACTCCGCCCCTCTTTCTAAACCAATCCTGGCTGTTGCTGGGCTGGCACAGGCCTCGGCCACTCCCCCTCTCTGAACTGGAGCTTTTCCCTAAACTAAGATGGCTCCAGCAGCTCTCTGCCAGGCCTTCTAAGCTGAAAACTACCTAGCCTGTCTCTTCCTGGGCCCTGCCACCCTGGCTGGCAAGGTAAGGGATCTTTACATTGAACACTTTCTAGTTCAGGTATTCATTCTTTTAAAGGGAAGGAAGGAAGTTGCACCATATTGCTTGAATATATTGCTGACTTGGAACCAGCAGGGGCTATTCAATCATCAGAGTTTGATTCTTCCCTTGGACCAGCCATAAAATCATTTCAGAAAAATAAGGAACTCCCATTAAGATTTTAAATAATAATCAGGAAGGATCAGACAAGTCTCATGCATGAAACAATGCATAAAAGGGACTGAAGTACTAAGCTGTCACACCACTGATATTTGTGGTATGAGGGAGTGAATGGCCTTGTTGGCCCCAGAAGGAAAGGAGGTCAAGTGTAAACTTCTGGCCTGGTGCAGAACACCAATGTAGATGTGAGAGGATGTCACTTGGGGGCTTATAAGTATGCTCTGCTTTCCTCACTTTCTCTTTCCATTGATGACAGTTGGATATAAAGTTTAATTTGTCTCTCCTGGCTTGGTTAAGGAGGACAAAAGTATTGAAGGATGCACCAGCACTAATTGGAGTGCATGGTTAGAACAGAGTCTTTTTTCCAACCATGGGTGTTGGGACAGCTAATTTTGCAAGCTTGGTGGGCAATGTGGATCACCCAAGAGTTCCAGGGTGATAACGTTGGTTTTTTGAGTGGTAAGACAGAAATTCAGTTGAACTTGCCCCCCACTTACTTTGCATGCGGGTGGTCTGGCAGCATTGTGGGCTTAAAGATCTATCTATATGGTGCCATGTCACTCTCACTCAATCAATTTGTTTGCACTCTGGGCCATATTCTTGGGGCCTCCTTCAATCCTATCACTCTTCACTATTTTCCTTTTTGTGACTGGTCTTTTTTTGCATCATTTGTTCAGGAACTGTAATTAGCCTATTTCACCTGGCATTGGAAATTCTTATAATTTACTCATGTATATACCACCTTTTCCCTACTGTTGGAACTCAAGGCTTCTTACAGAAAATTGAAACAAAAACAGATTTAAAACATACAAAAATATTAGGAAATGTTTAAAAGTTGTTTTAAAAATCAATAAATCGAAGTCCTGCTTTTTCTGCATGGCAGGGAGTTGGACTAGGTGGCCCATGTGGTCTCTTCCAACTCTATTATTGTATGATTCTATGATTTCAGAATTCATTAAGACAAGACATAAAAAAGATATAAAAAGACAGGGCATAAGAAAACAAAACAACTTAAGAAGCTGGTTCCATTTATCTGGTCTGTTCTGGGCATTAAACAAAGCTTTAACTGCAAGTAATGTTGACCACATGTTGTTTCTGCCTCCACTATGTACTACTTCTTCTTCTTTTTAAAGCAACCCCAGGCTTCAATCTCAAATGAGAACTTTATATATGTTGGTGGATGCATCCATCAACCAACTCCAGGTTTTTACCTCCTAGTGGCCCCCTGAAAATGCTTTCAGCTTTTGAAGTTTTTTTTAAAAAAAGATAACATGTTTTTTTCTGCCCAAGGTCAGTAACCACTGGGTGAGGCAATTTTATGGTCAAATACTAATGGACTAGAAAGTTAAAACATTTCTTTTTAACAATTATATTGACACACTGGAACATGTCCAGAGGAGAGTAGTCAATTTGGCAAAAAGTCTCAAAACAAACTCCTGTGACAAATGAATGGCTTAGGGAGCTCAATAAGTTTAGCTTCAGAAAGAAAAGATTGAGAGGTGATGTGATAGCCATCTTTAAATATAAGGAGAGATTTTGAAGATGGAACAAGCTTGTTTAGTGTTGTTCCAGAGACTAGAATGAGAATTAACTAGAATGAGACTCTCTGAGTTGCTGTGAGTTCTCTGGGCTGTATGGCCATGTCCCAGAAGCATTCTCTCCTGACATTTCACTCACATCTTCGAAATCGTGAGATTTGTTGGAAACTAGGCAAGTGAGGTTTATGTATCTGTGGAATGTCCAGTTGGGAGAAAGAACTCAGGACAGTAAATAAAGAGCAACATCCAAAAAAGGAGGAATTCCAGACAATCAATCAGGGCCAGCAAACACCTCCCAACAAAGGATCCCCCAGGCAGGCTTTGAAGCTGCAAGGACATTGTTATCAAGGTGGCAAATTGCAAGGCTTACTAAATAGACTGAATTTCCTTTTTATGAAATACATCTGAAGCTTTTTATCCAGAGTCCACTGTAAACACTGTAAGTTCTTGCTAACAGATTGGTATAAATGGGTAGCATTTAGAAATCTTTTATTATTGACAACTTTTTCATGACCCCAACATTGATCTAAGAGGAGACACTATTTGGGATCAGGTCCCACAATTTAAGAAGCAGTAGACTCGATGGTCTTTGCAGCCTCATCCCAGTCTATGATCTTTTGACTCTTCTTCCCTATGCTTGCTTCCCATAAAGCCACAGCAGGTGCATTCAATTTTTTTTTTAAAAAAAAAAACAAGATAGAAAACAACAATGATTAACTTCATGTGTAGTTTGAGTCAAACCTTTGAATAATGTTGGTCAAGGCATCTGCACTGTGATATTTTTACCCAGTAGGTGATGAAGACAAAAATCCTAATTACAATGCCAGCGTTCCTCTTGAGACTCATCAAGTTTTCTTTTCCCCTCTGCTTTACTCTATATAACATGTTCCCAAACAAAATGCTTTCAATTTTTAATGAGACGTATTGTCTTACATCCTCTGCTGAGCAAAAAAGAAGTACAGATATTGTTTTTTTATGCCTTTAATTCACTTTGGATAAGGCTCATAAATTGTCAAGTGGTTTTTGTTTTCATTCTTTTTTTAAAAGAATGCAGGAGAAATCTCAACATCCTTAACTTTTCTTTTTGACAGTTGTTGTGATAACAAGAAAGACTATAAAACAGGCTGAATGTGAAGTTGGCTGTTCATGTGTGGGAGAGATTTTGTCTTTATCTATTTTCCCCCAAAGGAAAATGGAGGAAGGCAGATTTCTTCCATTTGCTTTCTGTACCCAAGCTGCTTTGGGGAATTCTGGAAGCAAAATTTTTAAAAAAGTTTTTTAAGTGTCATTTCTTACCTTTAGTCTTTGGTTTCTTTGGACTTGCTCTTTGCACACCACTCTTAAGGAACAGTTCCCACCGAATTCCTCATAGGCAACAGAATAGGAATGAACTATGGTGGAGATTATTCTTCCCTGGATGAAAATGAATAGATATCAGGTAACAGTATTCTATCAGAAGCAAATTAGAACATGTAATAAAATTGTGCAAAGTTCTTCCATTTACAGTGCCAGCTATTCTATTCAATTTGCTCTTCTGTGTGGTTTGTGTGTGTGTGTCAGGAGGGACTTGAGAAACTGCAAGTTGCTTCTGGTGTGAGAGAATTGGCCATGTGCAAGGACGTTGCCCAGGGGACGCCCGGATGTTTTGATGTTTTACTATCCTTGTGGGAGCCTTCTCTCATGTCCCCGCATGGGGAGCTGGAGCTAACAGAGGGAGCTCATCCACACTCTCCCCAGATTCGAACCTCTGACCTGTCAGCCTTCAGTCCTTCCGGTACCAGGGTTTAACCCATTGTGCCACTGGGGGCTCCTTCTATGTGGTGTTCTGCCCCTACTCCATCAGTAGCCCATGACTACTAAAATCAGACCTTATTAGACTGCTGTAATCCATCACTCTTTCTTATCCTAAATCTTTTCAGTGCTCCTAGAAACCTTGTGACTCATGCTAACATCTTCCCCCTTGGATTCTCATGAATGGGAATCATGTGATCTTCCAGAGATTGTCTGACTACACCTTCTAGCATCTCTTAGTCAGCATTGTTGATAATGAGGAATAAAGAGACTTAGCCAAATCTGGATGACCATATGATTTCCATCTCTGGTGTAGGTAACATAATTAAGACTACATAACTTACTGCACCTTCATTCTGCATATTGAAATTTATAAATAAGAACATAAAAGCTGTTCTTGTCTCTCCTTCAGTCATGAAGGAAGGCATAAATATGCCTAGCAGCTTAAAACATGGACACACAAGAAGATATGGCTCTCCAAATGTTGTTGAAAAACAACTCCCACTTTTCTTCAATACGAGAACTGAGAGAAAATGTACTCCCCCAGTGTCTGTCGCATCACCTGTTCTCCATTTCTGGTTTACTGCTTCAAAAACTCCAATGGAAAATGCAGCACTACATTTTATTAATTGATTGATGATTTGTTGAGATTTGTATTCTTCTTGTCTCCCCATATGGGACCCAAAGCAATATGTAGGAAAAGTTAAAACACAATAACTGAAGCAATAATGTGGCACAAAAAATTAAAAGGCATTATAGAATCAATTAATTTAAAATATTAATTTTAAACAATTTAAAAGGACATTAAACACAGTTACATACATTGTAAATTCTTTACTCTTGGCAGTGAAGTGGTGAAGATATGTTTAAGTGGTGGTGGAAGCTCCTCCTTTGAAGGCTTTTAAATAGAGACCCAATGGCCATCTGACAGGGGTACTTTGTGTTTTTCTTGCATGGTAGGGGGTTGAATAGATGGCCCATGTAGTCCCTTCCAACTATGTGATTCTATTAATGTCTTTGTCAGCTAGCAAAATAGGAAAAGAGAAGAAATCAACCACGCATCCCTTTGAAGTAAATGGCAGTTAATTAGAAGAGGCTCTCCCATGTCTTGTGAGTTTGGTGGAAGAGGGAGCTAGACCACTGTTTGGAACCCTCCCCCCCCAAGATGTCATGGTATAACGAGAACTAATTGATTACTTGTTTAATTAATTAGAGGATGTAGTCTCAAACGATCTTCTGTGGCGGGGGGGGGGTCCCTTGATTCAGCCATCCCACCAATATATAATGAGAGGTATTTGTTTAATTAATTAGAGGCTGTAGAGACTCTGCCACCAATATACAATATTCCGAGGAGTTTTTCCTATGGAATCAGGCTACCACCAAAGTCAAAAGGAGTTTTCAGTTGTTGTTTGACCAAAGTTTTAAAAGTAAGCTGGATTGTGCTGAATTCAAACTCAGGGTGCAGAACATGGAGGTGGATAATATTGAGATTTCTTCTAAGTAGTTGCTGCACCAATCTGGAAACTCTGTTTCCCTAACTTTCTATAGAACTTCTTCACACAGAGGCACACTGGGACAGATGTTTGTTAACAAAGAACAAAAATGTTTATTTGTGTGGTTTTCAAAAACACAGGCACTTAAGCGTAATGGTTGCAAGAATGAGATGAAGCTTATTTGGTTACTTTAAAACAGTTCAATATTTGGCTTCCAATAACAACTCTTAACTCCCTCAGGAAACTAGCAGACTTCCTCGTGACTAGAATCATTTCACTTCAAACAGTCCTTTTCCTAGGATCTGTTTATATTCCCTATACCAGCTATTCTTCCCTAATAGCTCTCTGAATTCTCTAACTAACTCTTTTGGCTTCACTAACTCTCTCTTAACTATCTTCTTCAAAACCCAGAATCCAACTCCCTGTCAGATTTCAAAAAGCACTTCTTAAGGCTCTTTTTTTTTCTGCACTTCAACCAAGCTCTGCCCACTTTCTCCCAGCCAATCACAAGGGTTCTCCACATTTTCCCCCAGGCTGCTTCTAAGCTCCGCCTCCACTAGGAAATGATTAATCTAAGATGGCTGCTGCCTTTGAGTACCATTACACAAAATGGCTGCCAAAAAAACTGGGCCTATTCCTGAGCTTATTTCTGGTCTAAAGGTAGGCAATTCATCACACATGGCCACCCAACAGACGGCTGGGGCTATGATGGTAGAGGAGTTCATAGGGGACTGCCATTCCATGTCCCAAGGCTGCCTGAGCCTGGGGAAAGTGAGATGGCAGTCAAGACAGCTGCCTGCCCCGTTAGTTAGCTTAATCTGGGTAAATGCCACATTAAGGTGGTTTTGCTCAGGGGTAAGCCACATCTGGTATATGTGACATTTAGCCAACATGGAACTTTTCTGCACAGCAAATTAAGTGGTCATTGTTGGCATGAACCTGCTGAAGAATGTACTTGAGCAGCCTCTCATGGGCTTTCAGATCATTTGAACCTACTGCATATACTCATGTATAAATCTAGAAATTTCAGTAAAAAAAACTATTTAAAAAACCCTGAGTTGACATACATGGGTTAATGTACCTTAATTTTACCTAAATGCCCTGGAAGTTACCAAAGAGTAACTTTGGTAGAGGCATCCCATAGAATTGCCTTGCAAATTTGTAAGAAAACAGTTTTTTGTGGGTAAATGAAACTATGGATATGGATTCCAGAGTTACAAGAATCTTCCTTTACTTATATATATATCCTACAAGTACACTTTTCTCTTGCATAGAAAATGTTTGCTTTTGCCATTTGTAGTTTGAATTGCATACACAGAAAGACCATCTATGATGCTTCTGTGTAGCTGGAGTATGTCTCCTCTTTGGAAAGAAATAGTCTGTTTAAATAATTTAATTTTAAATACTATTTCAAATTAAAGTACCTCTAAAATATGCTCTTTAGTTATACTTTTATTTCAGTTTAGTATTTCTTTCCATGTTTCCTCTATACAAATAGTGAAAAGAATGGAACAGAGGAATGTAATCAAGTCAAGGTTTATTATTCAGAATAAAGTAATTAATATTATCCTTTTGCTAAACATAGTTAAGCTGGTAATCAATAATTTGTCAATTAAATGAAATTTAAATGACTGCACAATTCTGTAAACCAGGAGACTGATTGTAGGCTTTGTACTGAGACTGCTGTCTAAACATGCCAGGAAATGAATAATTCATATCTTCTAGTTAATAGCTTCCGTAACAACTACCTTTGGGAGTAAAATAATAACTTAATAAGAAAAAGAAACAAACCAAGCAAGTTTTCAGTCTGTTTAAATCTGTATACTCTCTGAGGCATAAAAGTGATATTTCCTAGTGAAAATGAAATTAGTTGAACCCTCAGGTGTGGGAAGGGAAGAGGAAAAAGCTCAACTTTTGCACAACATAAAACATGGAGGCACTGGTTTCACTCCAGTCACTCACAACTCACCGCATATGATATTTGAGCTTGGAAAACTTACTGTGGGGGACTGTGACATCCAGAATTGACCAGGCAATATAGCCAGCAATTGAATGTTTTAACTTGTAGTCCAAAAAAAGTAACTTTTCCAAACTCTGCATCACAGTAAGTGGACCTGGAACAAGTTTGAATATTGGCACCTGAATCAAGGAGCCATAGTCAATCATTTTAGTAGTTACTAAATAAGTATCGCAATATAGACATGCAAGTATGGTCAGGTGTAGATTCTTATACACTAATCTTTGGCAAAGCAACCAGTTTCTTCAAACAAATTTTATTGCTGGGTCACAGGGACTGTAACAGGCAATAATATTTTAAGGGTTTTGAAGCAATACTCTGCCCTTTACTGTTAGAGCTACATTTTTTTAATAAAAAATACCTAGTAGGGTTGACACGAGCCCTGCCTACCCCGTGCCATGCAGCTCGTAACTTCCTTTAACTGTTTATTCAAATTTTCATTTTGTCCATATTTCTATCCTGCACTAATGTTTTATTTATTTACTACATTTGTACCCCGCTCTTCTCACCCCGGAGGGTACTCAGAACGGCCTTATAAGAGACAACACATATATCTCCAGAAAAAACAAATACATTTAAAATCAAAGTAGTTAAAACATCAACTGTTAAAACATCAATTAAAATCACCCAATAAAAATCAGGATGATGTATGACAGTGGTTCTCAACCTGTGGGTCTCCAGATGTATTGGCCTTCAACTCCCAGAAATCCTAACAGCTGATAAACTGGCTGGGATTTCTGAGAGTTGTTGGCTAAAATGCCTGGGGACTCAAAGGTTGAGAACCATTGATCTATGGTGATTTGTGTGTCAAAATAGAATAAAATTGCAAACATGTATTAAGATTACTTTTAAATAGCAACAAATGTAGAGATAAATTTTACTGTGAACAAAAAGTAACAGATTTTCAAAAAAAAAAATACCTTTAAAAACTTCCAGAGGTATGGTGGGGGATAAACTGGTTTCACCCTGACACCAAATTAAAATTTGGGTTCTTCTGACTATGTTTCGATTCTGATTTAGTGTACAATATACATTTTTCTGGGTGTTTCTATATTGTTTTTAATTCTGTAATTCATTAAAGGAAAAAGCAAGTAAAAATACTTCCACACACA